GGCGGGGCGGGCGGCTGCCTCGCGAGCCTGCCACGAGCCAGGCCCCCGCGCCCTGGCCGCGAAGCTCGAGCAGGGCCCCTGCGCCTGCCAGCTGGGCCCCGTCGCATGCCAGTTCGAGTCCGCCGCGATCACGCCGCCGTCGGCCCGATCGCGGCGGACTCCGCCGCGCGGCGGGCCATGGGGGATGCCGCGGCGGGCAGAAGGAAAGAGACGCTCTCTTTGCCTACCGAGATGGCACCAAGGCCACGCTAGCAGCGATGTTGCGTAATGCTGGTTTCAAGTCGGGCCTGTCCTCCTAGAAGGGGTTTTGGACGAAAAATCAAAATAGTCAAACAATACCCGAAAAAGGTCAAACAATCATTAAACAAATCCTCCCCGTACTATGTTTCACTATCTTTGGAGATTCCTCCTGTAGAGGGGCATGCCCGACTTAATGCTGAATCGTAGCAATCGCGAACTGCACTCTCCTGCAATTCCAATATGCACACGTATCGAACGAGAACGACACGGAGACATGTGGGAAAGCGCGAACCACGCGTTTCACAAGACCGGAACCTACATCACCGTTAGCGTGTCTACGGTGGCAGGGCTTTGGGGAAGAGATCTGGCGGGCACCTCGCCTGCCTGGCACCCAAGGCAGGCTTGAGCCAAGATGGCTACGGATGAGGAGGAGGAGGAGGTGGAGGAGGAAGAGGAGGAGAGAGGAGGAGAGGAGGAGAGAGGAGGAGAGGAGGAGGGAGGAGGAGGGGGGGAGGAGGAGGAGGAGGAGGAGGGAGGAGGAGGAAAACAAGGGAGGGCCGACTCCCAAACGACGGAGCACCAAGCAGAAGCCGTGCGCCCCGCAGCCGGAGGACCGAGGCTGGTGGCCCACGGCAGTCTCAGAGGGCCGCCCCCCCTTGATCCTGCGCGCCGCCAGCGCTCGGCGCCCGATCCCGAGCCCGATCGCGGGATCCGGATCCTCCTCCTCCTCCTCCTCCTCCTCCTCCTCCTCCTTCCTCCTCTACCTCCTCTCCTCCTCCTCCTCCTCCTCCTCCCTCCTCCTCCTCCTCTTCTCTCCTCCTACCTCCTCCTCCTCCTCCTCCTCCTCCTCCTCCTCCTCCTCCTCTCCTCCTCCTCCTGGGGGGGGGGGGCGCAAATTGTGGCCGGCCAAGAGAGGGCGGCCAAGAGGGGCGCCAAGAGGGGGCGTCCAAGAGTCCTCCTCCTCCCCTCCTCCTCCTCTCCTCCTCCTCCTCCTCCTCCTCCTCCTCCTCCTCCTACCTCCTCTCCTCCGCTCCCCCCTCCCCCTCCCCCTCCTCCTCCTCCTTCTCCTCCTCCTCCTCTCCCCTCCTCCTCTCCTCCTCCTCCTCCTACCCCCTCCTCCTCCTCCTCCTCCTCCTCCCCTCCTCTCCTCCTCCTCCTCTCCTCTCCCTCCTCTCTCCCTCCTCCTCCTCTCCTCCGCTCCTCCTTCCTCCTCCTCCTCCTCCTCCTCCTCATCCTCCTCCTCCTCCGCCTCCTCCTTCTCCTCCTCCTCCTCCTCCTCCTCCTCCTCCTCCTCCTCCTCTCCTCCTACTCCTCCTCCTCCTCCTCCTCCTCCTCCTCCTCCTCCTCCTCCTGGGGGGGGCGCAAATTGTGGCCGGCGCCGAGTGCGCGGCCCAGGGGGGGGGCCAGGAACGCAATGAAACAAGAAAAGGTGCCATGGAGTCTAAGGAAGTATCATGGCCCACGCCATGATATCCACCCTCCCCTAGTCATCACCCCCCTCTTTGCAGCCCCCGAGTGCAGTCAACCCGTCTGCTGAGGATGCGCGCTACTGCAAGTCCCTTATGAATCGTCCCCCGGGTCCGGTTATTTTTTAGGGCGCCTTTTTTGTAACTGGGGGGGGTCCGGTTTATTGGGGCGTTTTCTGTGGTTTGGAGCTTAGGGGGTCCGGTTTATCCAGGCGCTCCGTCGAAGAGGGGGGTCCAGAATATCAGGTCGCATTTGGAGGGGGGTCTGGTTTTTTAGGGGGTTGGTCGATTAATAAGGGATTTGGAGTAAGGATGCAAGGACCTTGGAAGGCCATGTTGACGCTTTTCGAAGGAGGTTGGCCAGCGAAAGTCGCTGAGGATGGGCCGAAGGGGCAAGGATGCAAGCGCAGCCACGGAAAGTTGCTCATCCTTGCTGTGCGGGTTGACTGTAGCCCATATCCGTGCGATGGGTGTTGCTGACCCGTCCGAAAGGTCACAGCGATGCCACGCTGCGACCCGGTCCGGGCGCCGCAGGGTTGGGCGCGGACTCGAGGAGGACAGGAGATGTCAGCGGCCCGCGGATGGAGGCGTCTGGAGGTCCCCGGAGGTCCCCGTGGATGCCCAAAGACCTCGACCTTCGATCCTCTGTCCCAGACCCCGGGCATCACAATTTCTCCAGAGCGTGAACCGCCAGGAGGTCTCGATCCCCTGGGGTTTCCCGAGGCCCCGTTTACATCCCGACTCGTTATTTGACGGTCCTGGGGCCCGGCAAGTCCCCTGCATGAGGCGAAGATACTACTAGCCCTCTGGTTGGAGGTAATTTAGACCGGTCTTTCATCCAACCCCCATTCTCCCCTTCATTCGGGCCGAGGTCTACCCCTTCCCAGCATGACCCACGCCAGAAGACGTCCCCCTTCGCCTAGCCACGCGAAGAGGGTGTTTGATTGCATTTCGGGATGGACTTATCATTGGTTTGAGGCCCGCTGAAAACCTCTGGGGGTCGCTTGGGTGGCCTGTTGGGAGGCGCATCGAAAGCGTGTGGGGGGCTTCTTGAATGGCCTCTTGGGGGCCTCTGGAAGACCTGTTGGAAGCCTCTTTGGGCCTCCTGGGGATCTCCCTGGAGCCATCTGGGCCGACCTTGAGGCTGTTTTGGCTTGTCTTACCTCGTCCAATCTTGTCTGCTGTTGGTTTGTCTTCTCTTGTGTTTGGGTCTTGGGCCGATTTGAACACGTGCCATGACAACAGAGGATCCATGAAACACCAGTGTTGCCGACCACGGGGGCTCGAGGGGTCTGCTAGCCTTGTTCAGAAAAAACTCCCCTGTGGTCGGGACCAGGTTTTCGTGAGGGGGTGGAGCGTCCGCGTTTACCCAAGATGACTCCAAGATGGCCCCAGATAGCCTACAAGATGGCTCTAGTCCAGGATGGCCCCCAGCATGCTTCCGAAAGGTCTCAAGACCGCCGAGGGGGCGCGATCGACCGTCGTTGACTGGGAAAAATCCTCCCCTCCCCTTCACCGGGAACCGGGAGGGGGGCCCTCCCCCTCCCTGGAAACGGGTGGGGGGGTTCGAACTGGCTCGGATCAAATCCTGCCACCAGGGCTCGATACAGATGTGAAGCAATCTCACGAGGGCTCGATCATGTTCGGACAAAATCCTACACAGGCTAGATGCAGCCTTGGTAGAATCTATCCTACTGGGGCTGGATCCGGCTTTTCTGGCATCCTGCAGGGGGCTCGATCCAATCGAATCCTGCTACTAGGGCTGGATCCAACTCAAATAGAATCCTGGAATCTACTCGGGCCCGGCCCAACTTTACAAGAATCCAGCTCTGCTTGGATCCTAGTAGTGTCCGTCCAAATCTAATAGGATCGTTCTACGGTATATGCAGCTCTAATGGACACCTATCAAGACTCGATCCAGCCTAATGCAACCCCACTTACTCGGGCTCGATCCAGCGTTAGTGGAGCCCTATAGCCCTACAGAGGCTGGATCCAGCTCTAATACAGTCTCACTAGGGCTGAATCCAACCAGCTGCAATATGATCTCCCACCCCCACTCCCAGTTCGGGGCGGGAGGCTGTTTCCCGCCCCCCCCCCCCCCCCATTCGAACTGAGGGGTGGGGCTTGCCAGTGGCGGTAGAAAACGCTCGTTCAGACCGCCCCAGAAGGACTCGAAGTGGCCAAGGAGCCCCAACAGGATACCCCAGGGGGGCGAAACTCATTACAAAAACATGCAGAGATCAAAGAGTATTGCCTTCTCGCTGGGTTTCTGAGGCCTCAGAACGGCTTCAATCTCACTCAAGAAAATCTCAGGAGGGGCCCATAACGGGCCCAAGACAGCTCCAAGCGCGCCCAAGAGCGACCCCAGAGCGCCACTGAGGCCCTTAAGAGACGCTGCGTCGGGCTCCAGCGAGGCGAAGCTGATCAATGCCGCTCCAGGACTGCTCGATGACCTCCAAGATGGCCACAGGGGACGCCCCAGTGCCTCGCATAAGGCCCCCTGGGAGCCCCGAAGGTCTCCCCTCTGGCCCCCACAGAAGCAGAAGGCGCTTGCAAAGGAGGCTCCCACATCAGAAGAACCGCGACGGCCCTGACCCGGGACCGCGATGGCTCCCCTGTTTTCGGCTTGACGGCTGCCCCCGCCCTGCTCCGGTGCGTGCTCCCGCGCGGCCCTGATCAAAGCAGCTCGCCAGGGAGCACTCCTCGCTGGTGGGCATGGGCGAATCGTCACAGAAATGGCCAGACACCGCGCGCGGCGATCTTTCCATGACGCGAGAGAGCGGGCTCCCCATCATCAGCGCGACAGGTCCCCGCGACCCTGAGGTCAGGGTACAATCTGGAGGGTCAGGGCCCTGGGGTGTTCAATAAAAGACATCCGCGCAGGTCCCGTGGAGCGCCCCGACCACAAATCCGAAGGGATCCGGAAGCCGCTCGAGAGCCCTGAACGGACCAACGCTGACTCAGAACTCCGACCCTCGGAGGATGGGCCTGTTTTCCACCACCACCACCATAAGTTGGAGGGGGGAAGGAGGTGGAGCAGCAGGAGGAGGAGGAGGAGGAGGAGGAGGAGGAGGTTGAGGAGGAGGACGAGGACGGAGAGGAGGAGGAGGAGGAGGAGGAAGAGGAGGAGGAGGAGGAGGAGGAGGAGGAGGAGGAGGAGGACCCCCTCCCCCTCCTCCGTGTGGTGGTGGTGGTGGTGGTGGTGGAAAACAAGGCCATCACCCGACCCTCGGACCTCGACCCTCGGGCCCCCGATCAGCCAATGCTCTGCGAGGACCTCTGAGGGTCAGTGGCCGTAAGGGCCGCCCTGCTGCGCCGACGCGGACTGCAGGCTCCCAGCGAAGCCGCTCTGCTGCAGGGGCGCGCGCGCCCTGGTCGTCGCCTCGCGCTCAGCGGGGGGCTGGCGTTATGTCGGGCATGTCCCCATACAGGGGGTTTTTGGACGAAAAACTGACAAATACCTAAGTAATGCTCCACAATTATCAAAAATAGTATTAAAAAGTGGCCCCAGACTATTTTTGAACTATTTTTGAACATTCCTCCTGTAGAGGGACAGGCCCGATTTAAGGCTGGCGAGAGCGGGACCCGCGAGGCGGGACCCCGCGGGCCCACCTCGAGGAGGTGAGGCGGGCTCTGCCACAGCGGTGCCCTGCGAAGGGCGGTGGAAGGGCACCCCGCGGCCCCGCCAGGTCCCCGGGGGGCCCTGACATCCGCGCGTCGTGTGCGAAATCATGACGGAAGGTGTTAGGCTCCGGCCTCCGGGGGCCCTCTCCGGGCCTTGGCACTGTCTACATGATCGACCCACGAGCCCGGGAAGGGATATAGAAGTGTGAAGCATGGCAACATTTTCAAGACATCTGATTGGGCGATGGGCAATTGCAATGCTGTGTATCGATCTTCATGTACCGTGCCAAGGGCTGTGGTGTTGTGCTGTGCCGTGCTGAACTGCGATGTGTCATGCTGCGATTGTGCTCTATAGAGTTGTGGATCGAGTCCTCCTTAGCCTTCGAGTACTGACCGAATTGATTTGGATCTTAAGCTAGAGCTACCTGAGCAGATGAGAGCCGCCCCAGAGCCTGTTGAAGTGGAAACGTGGAGGGCATTCAGTCAGCTCGACCAAAAAATCCGAATCAGCTCCGACAAGGAACGGCACGACACGGGGCACAGGCTCACGGACGCGCCACAGGATGTGCCAGGGGCGAAATAGGGGATGCGCCAGGGGACGTGTCAGGGGACGCATTTGGGACGTACCCTGGACGTGTCAGGGACTGCCACGGGACGTGCCAAAAGCGCGTACCATGGGGCACCCAGAAGACGTCATGCCAAGGGACGTTGCAAGGGACCCGCCACGGAACGGGCAGCGGAACCGCCTGGGGACGAGCAAGGAAACGGGACAGAGGACGAGCCAGGGAACGTGCCACACCGAGTGGCGTGCTAGGGGACGTGCCAGGGCACGTCACGCCAGAACGTCGCAAGGCACGCACCAGTGGGCGCGCCAGGGCGCCAGGAGATGTCCCACGGACGGGTGGGGTTGGACTGCGACGCACTCTACTGCGACAAGCGTTTCGCTCGAAACATCCTCAACAACTCCTCATGTTAGACACCCGCCTGGGCGATCTGGACACGTGAGCTCGAGACATTCTCAACACCTCCTCATACTACACATCTGCCTGAGCGACCTGGGCCCCTGAACACAAGCGTTTCGCTCGAGACATTCTCAACAAAACCTGATGCTAGACATCCGCCTGGGCGATCTGGACACGTGAGCTCGAGACGTTCTCAACACCTCCTCATACTACACATATGCCTGAGCGACCTGGACACGTGAACACAAGCGTTTCGCTCGAGACATCCTCAACATATCCTGATGCTAGACATCCGCCTGGGCGACCTGGGCACTTGAAAGCAAGCGTCTCGCTCGAGACATCCTCAACACATCTTCATGCTAGACATCCGCCTGGGCGATCTGGGCACGTGAAAACAAATGCCTATCTCGAGACATCCTCAACACATCCTCATATTAGACATCCGCCTGGGAGACCTGAACAGGTGAAACCAAGCGTTTCGCTTAACACATCCTCAACCCATCTTCATGCTAGACATCCGCATGGGCGACATGGGCACGTGAAAACAGCAATTCGCTCAACGCATCCTCATGATAGACATCCGCCTGGGCCACCTGGGCACGTGAAACCGAGCGTTTCGCTCGAGACATCATCAACGCATCTTCATGCTAGACATCCGCCTGGGCCACCTGGGCACGTGAAAACAAGCGTTTCGCTCAACACATCCTCATGTTAGACATCCGCCTGGGCAACCTGGGCACGTGAAAGCAAGCGTCACGCTGGAGACATCCTCAGCACATCTTCACGTTAGACATCCGCCTGGGCGACCTGGGCACGTGAAAACAAGCGTTCCGTTCGAGACCATCTCAACAAATCCTCATGCTAAACATCCGCCTGGGCGACCTGGACACGTGAAAACAAGTGCCTATCTAGAGACATCCTCAACACATCCTCATGTTAGACATCCGCCTGGGCGACCTGGACACGCGAAACCAAGCGTTTCGCCCAACACATCCTCAGCAATTCTTCATGCTAGACATCCGCCTGGGCGACCTGGACACGCGAAAACAAGCGCCTCTCTCGAGACATCCTCAACACATCCTGATGCTAGACATCTGCCTGGGCGACCTCGACGCGTGAAAACAAGCGTCTCGCTCGAGACATGTTCAACACATCCTGATGTAAGACATCTGCCTGGGCAACCTGGAGGTGTAACACCAAGCGTCTCGCTCGTGACATCCTCAAGACCTGGACACATGAAAACATGCAGACATGCATTTCAACTGAGATATCCTCTTTTCGCTCGGGACATTCTCAACACATCATGCAAAACAAGCGTTTTGCTCGAGACATCCGCAACAAACGAACATGCGTACTTTACCCTGTGTTTGATCGATGGGGACATCCTCAACGTATTAACTCGCGGGCCCTTCGCGACCTCGTTGTTTATTACAGGTTAAGTTCGCTGGCCCTACGCAAGTCGAGGCCGGGGGGGAACCATCTAAAAAAAATACCCTGGGCCTAAGCCCTTTCCGGGAAACATGATCGACCCCCGAACCCGGGAAAGAGTATAGAAATGTAATGGATGGCAACGTTCTCAAAGACACCTGATTGGGAGACGGGCAAATGCAATCCTGAGTGTATCGATCTTGATGTACCCTCCCTGTTGCGATGTGCCATGCCACGATTGTGCTCTATAGCGTTGTGGATCGAGTCCTCCTTTGCATCCGAGTCCTGACCGAACTGATCTGGATCTTAAGCTCGAGCTGCCTGAACACATAGTAGCTGCCCCAGAGCTAAATGACAGGGGGGCATGCCAGAAGGACGCGCCGCGAAACGTCCCAAGGGACGCGCCAGGCGACGTGCCAGGGAACGTGCCATGGGGTCGCACCGCGGGACATGCCAAGGGGACGCGCTAAGGAGCGTGCCAATGGATGTGCCACGGGATGTGCCAGGGGACGCGCCAAGCGACGTGCCAGGGGGACTCGCCAAGGTACGCGCCAAGGAACGTGCCAGGTTGCAATGCTGAGTGTATAAACTTGATGCACCACGCCGAAATCTGTGCTGTGCTGCGCCGTGCTGATTTGCGATGTGCCATGCCGCGATTGTGCTCTGTAGCGTTGTGGATCGAGTCCTCCTTTGCATCCGAGTCCTGACCGAACTGATCTGGATCTTAAGCTCGAAATGCATGAACACATAGTAGCTGCCGCAGAGCTAAATGACAGGGGGGCATGCCAGGAGGACGCGCCGCGGAACGTCTCAAGGGACGCGCCATGCGACGTGCCAGGGGACGTGCCATGGGGACGCACCGCGGGACGGCCCGCGGGACGTGCCAAGGGGACGCGCTACAGAACGTGCTGGGGACAAGCGCTTCGCTCGAGACATCCTGTCAACATCCTCATGCTAGACATCCGCCTGAGCGACCTGGACACGTGAAAACAAATGTTGCGCTCAACACATTCTCAACACATTCTCATGCTAGACATCCGCCTGGGCGAACTGGACACGTGAAAACAAGTGGTTCGCTCGAGACATCCTCAACACATCTTCATGTGAGACGTCCGCCTGGGTGACCTGGGCACGTGAAAACAAGCGTTTCGCTTGAAACGTTTTCAACACCTCCTTATTCTAGACATCCGCCTCGGCGACCTGCACACGTGAAAACAAACGTCTCGCTCGAGACATCCTCAACACATCTTCATGTTAGACATCCGCCTGGGTGACATGGACACGTGAAAACAAGCGTATCTCTCAGGATATTCTCGATACAGCCTCATGCTAGGCATCCGCCTGGGGAACCTGGACATGTGCAAACAAGCATCTCGATCGAGACTTCCTCAACACATCCTCATGCTAGACATCCGCCTGGACGACGAGGACGCCTGAAACCAAGCGTCTCACTCGAGACATCCTCAACAAATCCTGGCGCTAGACCTCTGCCTGGGCAACCTGGAGGCGTGAAACCAAGCGTCTCGCTCGAGACATCCTCAAGACCTGGGCACGTGAAAACAAGCATTTCACTTCAGAGATCCTCTGAATTCTGGTCCACTGGAGAGATCAATCTATAACGCAAAACAAGCGTTTCGCTCGAGACGTCCTCAACAAATTCTGAACAACAAGCGTTTCGCTCGAAGCATCCTCAAAAATAATTCCGCCGGCCCTAGGCGATCTCGTTATTTATAGCAAAATAAATCCGCCGGCCCTACAGCCGTCGATTCCGGGGGTGAACCTCTAGCATGATCGACCCACGAACCCGGAAAGGAATATAGAAATGTAAGGCATTGCAACATTTCAAAGACACCTGATTGGGCGACGGGCACATGCATTGCTGAATGTATCGATGATGATGTACTGTGCCGAGGGCTGTGCTGTGCTGTGCTAGGCCGTGCTGAACTGCGATGTGCCATGCCGCGATTGTGCTCTGTATAGCGTTGTGGATCGAGTCCTCCCTGGCATCCGAGTCCTCACCGAACTGATCTGGAGCGTAAGCTCGAGCTGCCTGAGCAGATGGTAGCTGCCCCAGAACTAATCGACAGAGGGAACATGCCAGGAGGACGCGCCGCGGAACGTCCCAAGGGACGCGCCAGGCGACGTGCCAGGGGACGTGCCATGGGGACGCACCGCGGGACGTGCCAAGGGGACGCGCTACGGAACGTGCCAATGGACGTGCCGAGGGACGTGCCAGGGGACGCGCCGCGCGACGTGCCAGGTGGACTCGCCACGGAACGCGCCAAGGAACGTGCCAAAGTGCATAGTTGAGTGTATCGATCTTGATGTACCGTGCCGACGGCTGTGCTGTGCTGGGCCGTGCTGAACTGCGATGTGCCATGCCGCGATTGTGCTCTGTATAGCGTTGTGGATCGAGTCCTCCCTGGCATCCGAGTCCTCACCGAACTGATCTGGATCGTAAGCTCGAGCTGCCTGAGCAGATGGTAGCTGCCCCAGAACTAATCGACAGAGGGAACATGCCAAGAGGACGCGCCGCGGAACGTCCCAAGGGACGCGCCAGGCGACGTGCCAGGGGACGTGCCATGGGCACGCATCGCGGGACGTGCCAGGCGGACGGGTTACGGAACGTGCCAATGGACGTGCACCGCGCGACGTGCCAGGGGGACACGCCACGGGACGCTCCGCGGAACGTGCCAGGCAACATGCCAGGCTGCAATGCTAAGGGTATCGATATTGATGTACCGTGCCGAGGGCTGTGCTGTGCCTGGGCGACCTGGACACGTGAAAACACGCGTTTCGCTCAAGACGTTGTCAGCACATCCTCATGCTAGACATCCGCCTGGGCAACCTGGACACGTGCAAACAAGCGTCTCGCTCGAGACATCCTCAACAAATGCTCATGCTAGACATCCGCCTGGGCGACCTGGACACGTGAAAACAAGCCTCTGGTTCGAGACATCCTCAACAAATCCTCATGCTAGACATCTGTCTGGGCCACCTGGAGGCGTGAAACCAAGCGTCTCGCTCGAGACATCCTCAAGACCTGGGCACGTGAAAACAAGCAATCCACTTGACAGATCCTCAGAATTCAGGTCCCCAGGAGAGGACAATCTATAACACAAAACAAGCGTTTCGCTCGAGACATCCTCAACAAATTCTGAAAAACAAGCGTTTCGCTCGCGAGATCCTCAAATTTTAATTCGCCGGCCCTACGCGACCTCGTTATTTATCGCAACAGAAATTCGCCGGCCCTACAGCCGTCAAAACCGGGGGTAAACCTACTAAAAGAGAACCCTGGGCCTATGCCCTTTCCGGGAAAAAAGAACCCTGGGCCCCCGCCCTTTCCGGAAAAAAAAAAGCGACTTTGGATGAAAAGCCCGTGCCTTGGAAGGGGTCCAGATCTCTTGGGTGCGAGGTTGCGAGTGGCGGGATGTAGATGGGCTCTGTAACCGCGGAGGCCGCCCACATGGGGCCAGCGTGGACCCGCGTGACAAGCACAGTCTAAACTTGACATGGAGCTGACTCGCTTGGATCGGGCCATGCTTTCGTATATAACTAACGGAACGGCGGCCCGCGAAGGCCGCCCACGGGTCCCCCCTCGCTGCCAGACGGGAAACCCCGAGCTGGAATCGGTGACACATCGCCAATAGATCGGCGATAGGTCCCCGATAGCGAAGCCGGACCCGCCTGGGCGGGGTGGGCAGTCAGGTCCCTTATTGGCGATCGATGAGCGACCGGGAGTCGATGCGCTCCCCCCTGAGCATATGCCCCCATTGATGTCATAGCTGAGGCCTCCCGCGGCAAGCTAAGCTTCGGGGACCCCCGGACGCCTCTCGGCGAAGCGCAGCTGCTGCAGCGCAGCCCGAGGCCGGAAGACCTCCCAGAACCGACGAGCGCGTCCGAGCACGTCCTCGACGTGGCTCCGAGGAGGAGGCCCCCCGAACGCCCAGAGATCCCAGGAGGCCTGCCGCAACTGAAGGGGAGGGCGGGGGGGGACCTGCCCCGAGGTGGCTGCCGCCCGCGCTGCACTGCCCACGGCCGCAGAGAGCTCGCGCGAGCGACGAGCCCCGAGCTCGACCCTCGATCCCCGAGGGCAGCGCCACGTCGCCTTGCCGCCTCGACGATGCACCGGCAGCGTGGAGATACAGAGATGTCATGGCCCAAGTCGTGCCGCATCGCCGATGCATCCGCGGTGCATCGGCAACGCTGGAATGAAGAAAATCAGAGCCCAGGTCGCACCGCATCGCTGATGTGTCGGCGATGCGGCGCGATCCTCTGGCACCCTCTGTTCCGACCAAGTTGGGTGGCTTGGAAGCGGGGGTGCGGGCCCGCCAGCGACGTAGCAACTTCGCAGCGTGGGCCCTGGATCCTCTTGCAAGACGACGGCAGGGGAAAGGCAAGATCAGGCAGAGATCAGTGAAGAATATCTGAGGGCAGGTGGGTCTAGGGGATGGACCGGCCGCCGCGGCCTTTCGAGAGCGCTCCGGCAGGCTCTGGGAGCGTTCGGAACGCTCTGAAGCGACTTTATATTCTGCCTAGGCCTGCCTGGCGCAAGCTCCGGGGCCACTCACTGTCTGGAACGTGCGCCACTTGACAAGAAGACAAACGCCAGGATAGAACAATCCTCCTGAGGTCCGCGCGACATTCTTGGCTCAGAGCTGGACTCCCCTCCCCATCCCCCCTGTGCGCACCAGAGCGTGCGCCGATCCAAGAAATCCGATAGGACACCAAAACAGATACACGTCGTTCATTTCTAATCGTGCTCATTTCAAAGTGTGCTCGTTTCTAATTGTTCCTGGCCCCCTAGTGGCCAGGAAGAGGCCCAGGATAGAACAATTACAAATGAAAGGACCTTGGCCCCGCAAAAAATCAAAGAACTTCCGAAGAATTAGACATGATCCCCAGCGGCGTGGCCTGGGCCCCACTGGCCGATCTACCCCCCTGGATGAGGATATAGGCCGTACCCTTCGGGTTTCGAGGGGTGTATCCCCAACTGGGGGGAAATTAGGTGGGCGCCTCGAAGGGGATGGCGATGGGAATGGGGATCGGTTAAACGATACCGAGTTACGGGGGGTCGATCACCGTGGGCTCAAAAGCGTAAGCGCTCCTTGCGTGCACCGTCCTTGGGCGCGGGCGCAGTCCAGGGGCCGTGCGGGGCCCCTGCTGGACCACTCCCCCGCAATCGTCGACCTCCCCTCGTTCGTTGCCCCAGCCCTCGAGCCGTCCGCCCGGCAGCCGGACCCGTTCTCCGATGGACCAGGGGCCCAGAGACGGCCTCGGGACGTCGGGAACAAAGGAATGCCGCCACCGCAATGTTTCGCGATGGCCGTCGCCTCCTTCATCATGTTCGCCTGCAGAACGGCCTGCTCGTCAGCCAGGGACTGGACAACCTGCCACGGCTCCTGGTACCTGATGAGCTCAGTCTCCTGTCGAACGCGTATGAACTCCTTCATCGACCACACCAGGTAGACGGCGAACCCCAGGGCCCCGATTGACGCGAGGTACCCGAAGATGGCCGATATGTTGCTGATGGAGCAGTCCAGTGAGGCGACTTCGGAGGAAGAGATGGCCTGGTAGGTGAGCCCCGGCTATACACCAGCACCGACCTTAGCCAGGCTGATCCTGGGCCGAGGATCAATGTACACGCGCCTTGGGTTTGGCCAGGCAGGCGTATACACAGACAAGCCTGAGCAGGACTGGCGAAGGTGTATAGTTGGCGCCCTTCGGCCGAGGTCGTCGAGCAGGAGAAGCCGTACGAGAACAGCAGGAAGACCCAGACAGCAAACGCCACAAAGCTGCCTCAGGAGTTGAATATGAAACCACACTCGCTATGAGCTGAGGCCAGGGGGATCCTTTATCATGAATGTCGCTCCCCGTGGGTTCAAGCATCTCGAGTGGGTCAGGTGCGTCAGAGTCAAAGCCCCCATAGTACACTCGCCGCACACCATACGGATAAAGTAAGGGTGCGCGGCCCTTGGGCATGCAAATTGGCATGATGATTAGGGGCGGGCCAATAGGATTGGCTAAGGATGGGCCGAAGCGGCAAAGATGCACGGGCACCCTTGCATGCTGATCCGCCTATCCCTTAGTCTGGGGGGCGGCTGTACTTACCGAGTACCTGCGAGGTACAACATGTAAGGCATCATGTTCGACTCGACGCGGTAGATGGCACCCACACCCGCATGTATGATGACGGGGATTCCGATGAGGCACCACGCACCGACCGCACACTGGAGACTCGGGGAAACATACAAGCCGCCCCACGTGGCAATCTGGACCGAGGAGACCGACGTCAGAATCGCTATGCACGCGATGAGATGCACCAGACACAGCACTTCCACGGCAGCAGTGATGGAGCAGACTCCGCACACCGTGGGCGCGGGAGAAAGGCCCATGGCCGCGCCTACGACCGTCGATATCTTCGGGGGCGCCCTTTCGATATCGGACCCGAGGGTGTGTCCTGGCCTTTGGCAGGACTTGAGCCGAAGCGGTTGCGGGCCCGGCCTGGGTGTGGCAGGCCTACTTGCCACGGCCACAACTTACGAAAACTAGCAGTTAGCCTGGAAAAGGGCCCAGGCCCACGCGTCTGCAAGAAGCGCAAGGCGGGGCCCTCCCCTCATGCACTGCGCGCCGCGGCAGGGATAGAAGTCGGGCAATACAGCTGGGAGTCTGCGAAGTTGGCGTGCAAAAGCACATGCTGATCCCTGTGAGGCACGCTCCGCCGGAGGAATGTGCCGAAATGGGCAAAGTGACGCCGTGCGGGCGCCCTCACTGGTGCAGCATGAAGCTCCCGGGTGTGCCAAGACGGGCCGGGTTACGCTGTACGCGCGCTCTCGCTGCTGCCCTAGGCAGAGCTCCCGTGGTGTGCCGGCACGGGAGGGGTGAGGCTATGTTACGGGGCGCGATCCGGGCGAGTGGTGACGCTACGGGGGCGCCCCCGACCCCTCGACCCATTCCCTGGGACCGGTTTCTCGTCCCGAATCGTTTTTCAATGGTCCGGGGGCCCAGTGGGGCTCCCAGGCTGAAAATACAGACCCGCTTCAAGTATTGATGCTTCTTTATGTCCCGAGGGGGTCTGGGAATGGGGAGACGGCTTCAATATCGACGGGGCAATGTAGTTCAAAAATCTCGAGGGCAGAATCACCCATGCCAATCCCGCGGCCAGCCCCAGCCAACCATCCGGCCAACCCCGCCAGCCAACCGCGTTCAAGGGAAATTAAGTTCGTACGGCGGCTCAGAGAAAAGCACATGCCATATGCGTTTCGCGATTTCAGGCGTCTGAAAGCCGTTCCCAATGCCCCGGGGTTAGAGCAAGAGCGGCTCGGGATGAGAAGGCTGCCCCCGAGGAGGGGTCGACAAGTCGGAGCCAGCAGCCCCAAAAAGTCGGGCCGTCAGGGGTCTGGGTCCGCAGCTTTTGCTGATCATGATGCTGCCCGCTGCTGCTCCTCTTCCTTTCTCCTCCACCACTACCACCTCCTCCTCCTCCTCCTCCTCCTCCTCCTCCTCCTCCTCACCCTTCCCCCCCCCGCCGATTTCACCCACCCTCACAGAGAGCGTCTTTCACAGGCGCTGTGCGTCGCAAAATCACCCCCCGCCAGCACCGGGATCCTCCCTCCTCAAAAATACCCCCCTCCTCCAAAACCTGGACCCCCCCCCCTTCCAGCGAGAACCCCTCCTTCACGCCTCCCCAGCATCATCTCCCCCCTCCGGAAGTCAGGGGGTCAGGGGAGGGATGACAAACCCGCCCACGCGCCCCTCTCTCTCGCGCGCTGGCAAACAGCGACGATGATTACGCTGACGACGAAAAAGACGAACACGACGGGACGACCCACATGCTAACGACGAGCCTGATCACGGCGAGAACGACGACGGCGACAAACACGACGGCGAAGCTGACGACGGCGAAGACGAACACAACGACTGCGACGACGAACGCCTGCAACGATGACGATTAAGTTTGCGAGTGCGACGACGACGCTGGGACACTAACGGGGAACTCGGATGGGCGGGGGCCCTCCGGCGGGCGGGGCGGGTCGGGCAGGCCAACAACAAAAACGGGCGGGCGGGCGTTCTGCCGTTCGAGCGAGCGGGAACCTGACAAGCGGGTCGGGCGGGAGGGCCCGTAACGGGCGGGTCGGGCTGACGGGATCCGGACGGGCATGTGACGCTGGGTGGACGTTAGAGCGAACGAGCGGGCGGGACATCATATGTTAGCCTCTCTCGTTGGTAGCAGCGGGCTCGTCAGAGTCAGCGCGCTGGTTGTTGTCAGCGTCGCCGTCGTCATTGTCGCCATTCGCGTCGTCGCTGTCGTCGTAGGCGTCGTCCTGGTCATCGTGCTCGTTGACGTCGTGGTCGTCGCGTTCGTCTTCGCAGTCGTCGTCGTCGTCGGGCGTCGTCGTTCAACGCCGCGCAAGGGGGAGAGGTTCGAACTTCGGGGGGAGGGAAGGAGGTTGGGACTTCGGGGATGGATGGGCGGGGGGGGCCGGTGCGGCCCCACACCCCTCAAGTGCCAGCAGAAGACGCTCTCTCCATCCTCGGGGTGTCAGCTCCGACGCGGAAAGGAGCACGGGCCGGTGTCCAGCTCTATCTCGGGGGCACTTCTCCTGCTCCTCGCATGCTTCTTCTTGCGTTCGTCGCCGTCTGCTCTGCGCCCTCTCTGCCATGGGTCTGGCGTCGTGGCCTTCTCAAAACGTGGTTCCCCAGATGCCCGGGCCCCTCCCCGGAGACCGGCCGTCGATTCCGAGCCGTGCCTGCCGACGGCCCCAGGGCCCCGGGAGGCCAACGACGCTCGCGAATCCCTCCGTCGGGACTCTTCCGCGGCGCCCGGGCCAGGGGACCGCGGGGAGCCCGCGGCGCGGGGTGACCACCCAAACGGCAGGGCCCGCACCGCGGACCTCCGGCCGCCCACGGCAAGCTCCGTGCCGTGCTGCCCCCGGGAAAGCGGCCCCTCACGGCTAAAATCAAGAAGAAAAACAACGGATTGAAACCCAACATCCGGCCGCTGCACTTTCTCCGACGCGTGGGCCCTGGAGGTCTGGACCGCTTCTTTCTGTAGGGCCGGTTTTTTGTCCCCCCGAGCCGTTTACCGACGGCCCCGAAGCCCGGCGAGGGCCCCTGGACCGTCCGTCAATCACACATTTTTTGAACCTCGCATCTCCACTGTTTTCGGCGCTCCGCGGAGGCTGGTCGCAGGACGGGCGGCCGCGGCGCCCTCCCGGCCCGCGGCCGGGAGGGGGCGCCGCCGCGCGCCGTGGCCGAAGGGGCCTCCGACGTCGATCGGCGGCGAGCGAGGGGAGGAGGGGGCCCTCTCGGAAGGCGGCGGGACTTCCCAGAAGCCCCCCCGGCCTTTCGATAGAAGTATCTCTGTGTCACCAGGAAAGGCGCAGAGAAAACTCCTCCGAAGGCCAGGGAAGCTTCCCCGAGCCTTCTGAGAGGGCCCGCCCTTTTTCCCCTGACCTTCCAGGGTGCTAGAAATCAGCCCTCCAGACCTATGGACCTATCTGGGCTGCCTAACACCTCCATTGGAAACAAGATGTCGAGGTCCTGGTGTATTTTATGGCCCTCCTGGAAGGTCAAGGTCGCTTCCCCCCTTGGGCTCGCCGCCGAATCCTCGCGTCACGAGGGAAACATGGCGTCTTGTGCTTTGCGTGTCGCTCCGCGCCGGTTCTGGGTCATCGCGCTATTCGGCGCGACGCACTGACGACGCGCCCACGTCCAGCCGTCAACGTCCCCTGATGGGCTTGTTTTCCACCACCACCACCACCATAAGTTGGGGGGGGAGGGGGTCCTCCTCCTCCTCCTCCTCCTCCTCCTCCTCCTCCTCCTCCTCGCACGTACCCAAGGCGGTCGATGAATCCTCCAAGCTCCTATCTCATGAAAGAGAAGCTGGCGGCGGGGATGAGCGCTTGGGCGGAGCGCTCGGGCAGGAGCTGCGGGCCCGCCCTGTTGTACTCGGCACGGATGGTCTTTGACAATTCATGTGCCCTTGCTGGAAGCAAAAACGCATCACGGGGGTAGGAAGAGCCGAGGAGATCGAACGGGGAAGAGGAAACCATAATGTGCAAGATCTGGGCAACCAGGGGCACAAATTTGGGGCAACCCCATTAGTGGACAAGACTGTCGGGGGCGATTTGCATCCAAGCATGCACCTACAGCTGGCATTCTGAAAGCGGGCCTCTGTGGCCCAGCTGTTGGGAAAAAAAAGTCTTGAGGCAGCTGACCGCATGCTGCGGCTTCATGCTTCTCAACGTCTTTTTTGATGAGGGGCCACTGCGAGGCCCTAGTCGGATCGATCTCGGCAGGAAACCACTCAAGGAAACGGCGGATCAAGAGCTCAGGCCGGTCATCAGGGCTCAGGATGGCACGAAACTTGGTGACCAGACTTCGCTGGACCTTGAATGTCGGGTCTCAGGGCAATCTCACGATCATGGCGAAGCTCTTGAATCGCTTGGGCGAGCCTCGCGTGCTGTGGGTGGCTCCTGAAGCCATGGTACGCATCTGACATGTGTTCGCAAATTGCTTTCGTCTGCCAAAAACTCTGTGTCAACAGTCCCCGGCTTATCTCTTACAGGCTCAAATGTTCCTGTGCAACACGGATCAGCCAGTCAAGCTCGGCCCTCCGGGCCACGAAAGTCGAAGCGGCCGCTCGAGCCCGTGCCGCGAGGCCGAGAATGATGTAGAGCGTGAGCTCAGGACCCTCCCATTCCCCCATGTTGTTCCAGGCGGCACGGAGGAGGGCGCAGAAGCGGAAGTTGAAGATGCTCGAGAAAGCGGCCGTCTCTCTGTGGGCCAAGTTCTCGGGAAGCGGTAAGAACTGCACCACATAGGAGCGCGCAGAAGCAACGCGGGCCCCGTGCAGGTACTCGAGCACAGTGGCGGGGCCGTTTGTTTAGGCTTGCATCGCACTTCGGGAGGCCATTTCGATAGCGGGGCTCGCCAGGATACCGATTCGGAATTCGGGCCGAACCAGAGGCCGAGGTACTTTCAAGTGCGGAACGATTTCGAAGTCCTTCCACGCTGGGATCATGGCCGACAACCTAACTTTGTAGAGCTGGCGCAGGGCGTCGCTGAAGGGGCCGGCCAGCGGGGCGACCTTGCACTTGGCCGGCTTCAAAGACAGGCAGGCCGCCGATTCAGCAACTCGGAAAATGCGGCACAGGTGGCGCATGGACTCGAGCTTAACAAGGGCTGCTCCTATGTCGTCCGCGAAGGCTCTTGCGGAGCCTCTCCTGGGATTGTCAATGTGTCGCGCGCGGTCCTGGAGGAAGGGGTCGGTGGAAGCCGCGCGCAGCAATCCGCTAGCAGGGCAGCCCTGGATAATCCCAGCCAGGATGGGAAAGTACAGGACCAGGGATCCTTGGCATTGACCGACACAGAAAAAGCCCAGGCACAGGTGCCCCAGAAACCACAGCAGAGGTGGAGGTCGCGAGATAGCTCGGAGGATCTGGAAGAGGCAGCGGTGGGCCAGGGGGGGAAGGCCTGCTGGAAATCGAAGGAGACGAGTAGTGGGAGGCCGGTGGAAGATGAGGCAGACACCGAAAACCTTTTGGCAGCGCCGTCTAACTCAATAGTGTTTTCTCCAAGCCGTCGTCCTGTTGTAACCCCTCGTTGGATCGGGCACGCAAGCTGCGACCATTTGGTCGCGAAAGCCAGAACGCAACGCCAATCAATTTCCTGTTGTCCGTTTTTTACAAAAAAATAATAATTCGGCCCAGGGGTCGGAGAACATCTGGGGAGCGGGCTGCGCCGAGGTGGTCTGAAGGGTCATCCCTTTTGGGTAGGAGGATACCCAGCAGGTGGTTGTTTCCCATGGGCAGCCGTCCACCCTGAAGGGTATACCACAGCACATTGTACAGCATGTCCAGCGCCTGGGGCAAGCGTCGCCACGCGCATGTCTGGACCAGGGGCGCTGTCGGACTGTCGCGCAACATATTTTCGCAGGAGGTCGCAAGTGGGAGGCGGGGGGCCGCTGAGGTCGAAGTGGGCGGCAAAACGATCGACGCGGGCGTCGGCGGTCGGATCGCGCATCGGTTTCTCTTCGAACACCTGGAACCAGTGATCGAAAATTCGTCGATGGATGTCGGTTGGGTCAGTGTACTCGTGACCGTTGGCAATGATGGCGCGGAGCGGGACTTTCTCGTCGAAAAGGGCCCACCGTCGACCGCGCCTGCGCATCCGTTTCGCTCAGCATCGAATGTTCTCCCTCTGGCCTTCGTCGGAGGTGTCGGCGAATTATCGTTCGAAGCGACGTTTCCGTCGCTCGAGGTCGGCCGTCTGGGCGCGGTCGATCGCGGCCGAAAGCCCGCCGGGAGACCGAATGCTCGCGCTCCCGGAAGCAGGCTCCGTCACCAGGTGCCCCGCCGCCAAAGGGTGGGCTCGGACAAGAACACATGCAAGCTTGAAGTCCCGTCTCCAAAGAACTCTCGCACATGTCCTGAGGAGGACCAGCTTGGCGAGGCTGGAGTTCGGAGTCTGGGTGAGGACGGCCTGCCGAAAGAACCTGGCGTCTTCGCGCATCAGATCCGTATAGATCTTGAGTTGGAGAGGTGAGCGAGAAGATGTCGAAGGAGGCGAGGTAGGGGTCCATGAAATACTTGTAAGGCCTGGTGGCGAAGAGACCATGTGGAACCGGACGCTCCAATGGGGCCTTGGGGGCCTGGGCTCTGAACTCAACTATCACCCCAGCATGGTCGGACAACCGTTCGTGGTTGATTCTTGTCACATCCCCCATCGTTTTCCCCGTCATGTGTAACTGTGTAACCATCCACCCTGGGAGCGACACACACACGCGGTCCAAAATAGCAGTAGAGTCCTGGGTGGCACGGTAGAGGGTAGGGTCGAGTTGTTCAAGTTCTGGCATAGAGGCAACGAGAGAGGTCCAAGCTCGATCCTGACTCGCTTCCCAGTTGTTTGCAGAAGCGACCCCAGCCTCTGAGACAACTGTCGGGATAGCCTGGTGGGCCGTAATGTTGAAATCGCGCGCCACCACAACTAGCTTCAAATGTGGTGCCTCTCGCGCAGCAGCAAGCTCTTCTCTGATCTTGCCGAGAAACACATGCTTCATCACAGTGGTGATGCCGAAGTGATGTATGTTGAAGTGTGCAATCGAGCAGCCGGACCCAGGGAACCTGAGTTTGATAAAAAGGGCCCTCCCCGCGACGACCGCACTCGAACAACTAGTCGGAGTCGAACCCCCAGGTTCACCAACCATCCCCGATAGCTTCGGCACAAATGCGATAACCCCTCCAGCGTTCGCACTCTCGCAAAATGCGTGGTGGTAGGAGTGGGTCTTTCTAGCGGAAAGTCCCGTATGTCGGCTTCCGTGCCCCTGGATTCTTGGATCGCCACGATGCTGGTGTCGGAGAGGAGAGAGAGAGAGAGAGAGAGAGAACAAAAAAAAGGTGCCTGTACTTTTTCTTGCGGAGCGGGTAGCCGAGGTGGGAATCGACAAGGTGGAAGAGAAAGCGGGCGTTCCAAGATACCAAGCACAAGGAAGTCCGTTGGATACTGCCCCCTTGCCAGCGGCAGAAGAACGTGCTAAAGGCTCCACTCAGGGTCCGCGTTCGCCTCCGCGAAGAGCGCCTGGAACTTTTGCTGCAGGGCACCTTTCGGGATGTTGACCGCGCGCAGGGTGGCGTCGCAGTGGTCGATCGACGGTGGCAGCGTCCCAAGCTTCGGCGTGTAGCGGACCAAGGGCTTCCAATTGAGCAGCAGCCAGCCCTTCTCGCGGCCCACGAAAGTTTGAAGGACGGGTGGAGTTCTTCAGCAGCACGTCGGATGAGTTTGATGCCCGTCTCACGCTGCACTATGAACGGGTGCTTGCCGGGCGCCGCGCCACGAAGATTTCGGTGTGCCCACCGTTGGGGAGGGCCGCGAGAACGCGGCGCCACCCAGCATTGCGGCCAGGCAAGCGCATAGCAGAGACCGCCATGCCGAGCTTCCGCTGCGCGAAGGCGGAGTTGCCTTTGGAGTGGAGCGCCCACCGCTTGGCCATCGCATCACGATCTACTCCATGGAGAGGGGGGAGGGGAGGTGCGAGGGCCCGAGCCGATCGGCAGAACAATGCATAAGAAAACGACGACCTGCATGGCATCCCCCCCCCCACCTCGCCACCCCGCCGCCTCGTCAAACCGCAGTGCTGGACCGTGGCGCGCGCGTGAAGTCCCGATCTCCTCTCGAGCCTCGCCCCGCCGCCCGCCGCCCCTCCACGCAAGCAAAAACTTGCCAGAACCTGAAAGGTGGAGGCCTGGGAACGGGCACCAACACCGACACAGGGGGTTGCCTCCACAGGGGGAAGATGATCCCAGATTTCGGTGTTTGTGGCAATATGTCGGTCGCCTTGGAAGCCAGAGTATTACCACCATCACCGGGATCGGGGTCTTCTTCCCCTGGTGGAAGCAATACCACCGATGTTGGTGTTCGTGTCAATCTCTAGGCCTGCGATGAAGAACACGATTCAGAGAACTACTCTCGATGGAAGTGTCTGAGCGGCACCCACTCCACCCATCCTTCTGCTTCATCTTCACCAGGCGCAGGGGCTTCAGGTCCTGTCGCCAATGTTAAGTCGGGCGTGTCCCCCTACAGGGGGATTTGGAACGAAAAAAGAAACATACTACAAACATGCCCCCCACATGGGCAGAAATAGACAACAAGTCGTCTCCTGATTATTGTTTGACTATTCTTAAATACTCCCCCTGTAGAGGGACAGGCCCGACTTAACGCCAATGCTGCCCTCTCTGCCACGTGCACTCGCCAGGGCGACGCGCTGCTCTGGCACTCACGCCAGATCTGCAGAGGGGCAACATCTGTTTCCCTCCAGCATCTCCTCCCAAACTTGCGCCTCCTCTGGCCTTCCTCCCCCGCCCCCCCTCCTCAGGGACGCCCCCTCCCCTGTGAAGAACGTCCTTCGGGCTCGTCTCCAGGCCCGTGAAGCCGAGGCTATACGGCGCACCGACCACGCTCGCAGTCGGACCCCTGAATTCGTAAGGTTTTTCGTTTCAGATGGGGCAGGGATGATGTCGAAAACTCAAGTCCGACCTGGCAAAGGCGTTGGCCTTGCGCGATCAAGCTGGTGCTTCATCTGTTTGAGCCCCAATCCGCTCCCGAGCAGAGGCAAATCCAACAGACACGTGAGCTTTCGGAGGTCCACGCGGATTCTTGAATCGCGACTGGGGCAGCGCCATAGGCGCCGATCTCGTGCACATTGTCTTCTTCGACTCCCTCCACCCTCCTCCGTCTCTCTTCGGCCGCCGCTCCTCCGTCCACACCCCTCTCTGGTCCTCTGCCGTCCCTTTCCTCTCTCTGCTCCCTCCTCTCACCACCCTCGTCCTCTGCAGAGCCGTCTCCGGCGAGAGCGGATCCCAAACCCAGACAGCCGGCGAAAGCGGAATGGACCGAGCCGACGGCGAAACCGAAGCCGAGCCTGCCGAACGGCGGCAACGACGCAACAGCCGACCGAACCGAACCGGCCAAATGCAACCGACTGCGACACAGCCGAGCCGGCCGAACCGCGGGCACCGTTGCTCTGCCATCCCCGGCCCCCGCCTTCGGATGAAAAGCTGGTCCCCGTGAAGGGGTCGAGACCTCCAGGGGCCCAGGTAGTGACAAAAAATCGCAATATCGGGGGCTGGGGACGACGAGTGAGGGCCAGAATGATCGAAAAACGGCGTGTACGCAAAGTCCTTGGGGTCCATCTGCGTAAGAATGCGGCCGAAAAACGCCAAGCGGCAGTTCGGCGTGTGGATGTCAAAATCCAGCTTCGACGCGACCTTGGATGCCGAATGAGATTTAGGAAGGGGGAAGGAGAAATCGAGCACACAGGAGATCAAGTGCAAATGAAAGACTCGACGGCGGCATCCGTCGATAAAACCGCTCGTGGTGCTCCACGGTCAACTCCGTGGTGCTCCACGGTCAACTCCCATCAGTCACACTCGGCCTTCGATCAGAAACCGATTGATAAGCACCGTAGAAACAAACTTGGCAGTCGCCGCCACGCACCTACTTCGGATACGTACGCGGTGCACAATACCACAACTCGTGTTTCCGCTCGGAGCGCCTCGCACTCATCATTATTCGCTCGCCAACTTCTGCTCTTACATCCAGTCGTATGCTCCTCCTGCCCCTGCTCCTCCATTGCACCTCCTCCCCATCCTTTTCTTCGACGTGCTGGCGGGCCTCCGTGGGCCCGTAGTCACTACCCATCCTCCTCCTCCTCCTCCTCCTCCTCCTCCTCCTCCTCCTCCTCCTCCAGCAGGTGTCCTCGCCTTCGTCCTCCTCCACCCGCAGGTCCCTCCTCCTCTTTATCTCTGGCATCTCAGCAGGCGCGCGGGACTGCGTGGAGCCTACCATGCGGGCGTGTACAGGCTCGAGGACCCTAGTCGCCTGACGGAAACAAGTCCGGACACCGCCTTCTATCACCCTTTCGAGTCCCCGCCTCCCCATGCCCCTCCCTCATCCATACCCGCACATCCACGTCTTCCCCCCCCCCAACTTCCCCCCCCCCCGGATCCTTCCACTCGTCGTCGTTGACGACGTCGTCGTCGTTCTCGTCTTGATGCCGTGGCTCCCGGTCATGCTCCCTTTTCTTCTCCTCCTCCTCCTCGTCCTCATCCTCGTCGTCCTCCTCCTCCTCCTCCACATCCTCTTCCTCCTCCAACTCCCCATCCTATCCTCATCATCGGCCCATTCCTCCAACACCTCCTCCGATCCCCTCCGTCCATAAGAAACATTGTGCCCCCCCCCCGACCGTTTCCTTCTCCTCCTCCTCCTCCTCTTCCTCCTCCTCCTCCTCCTCCTCCTCCTCCTCTTCATTTTGCTCCCCTTCCTCATCCTCCCCCTCCTCCTCCTTCTCTTCCTCCTCCTCCTCCTCCTCCTCCTCCTCCTCCGTCTCCTCCCTCTCCTCCTCCCACTCCTCCTCCTCCTCCTCCTCCTCCTCTTCCTCCTCCTCTTCCTCCTCCTCCTCCTCCTCCTCCTCCTCCTCCTCCTCCTCCTCCTCCTCCTCCTCCTCCTCCTCCTCCTCCCCCCCTGCCACGTGCTGACTCTAGTCATCCTCGTCTTCCTCAGCAGCCTTCTGCCTCCCCCTCCACCCTCGTCCCTCCTCTTCACCAACATCTTCCTCTACAGCATCTTCTCTCCCTTCCCATCCTCGCGCCCTCCAGTTCCCCCTCCCCCCGTTCCCCATGCTAACACTAGTCATTTGATTCCTAATCGTGATCCTCCTTCTCATTCTAATCATCCGCCTCCTCCTCCTTCTCCTCCTCCTTCTCCCACTCCTCCTCCTCCTCCTCCTCCTCCTCCTCCTCCTCCTCCTCCTCCTCCTCCTCCTTCTCCTCCTCGTCCTCCTCTACATCGAACACCCGCTCATCCCTTCCTCGCCACCCCCCCTCCCTGACAGGCTTGCTTGAGGCCACAGCGCTCGCAGGGAGGAGGAAGATTGGAACGAGCCTTGCGCCCATGAGCAGGGCTCGCATCGGTCAGTCGTGGCTCCCCAAGCGCACCATGATTGTCGGCACGGGCAAGGAGAGAACGTTGGGGGAGGAGGGCGGGGAGGAGGGGAGGGGCGTACTGAACTGCGGGCATTGGCACCTAGGAGGAGGAGGAGGAGGAGGAGGAGGAGGAGGAGGAGGAGGAGGAGGAGGAGGAGGAGGAGGAGGAGAGGGAGAAAGATAGGCATGAAGAAGGACGAAGGGGAGAAAGGGGAGGAGGAGAGGGACAGAAAGGCCAGGAAGAGACACAGACTACAGGACGACAAGCGTGAGGAGGCGAAGGAGGAGGAGGAGGAGGAGGAGGAGGAGGACGCAGAAGAGACGAGGATGGAGGAGACACAGGAGAAGAAGCATGAGGACGAGGAGGAATACATCCTGAAGCCCTTCGAGACCATCTGGCAACTCATGGGGGTGGTCTGACTCGGACGGATGCCGTCCAGTCACAGCTAAACGTAGCCTTCTCCCGCTTTCTGGCGAGAAGGGACATGAGGAGGACGAGGAGGAGGAGGGGATAAGGAGAGGGAGGAGGAGGAGGAGCAGAAGGAGGAGGATGCGGAGAAGGAGGAGGAGGAGGGTCAGGGGGGGGAGACACATGAGGTAATGAGAGAAACTGGAGATCAATAAGAAGGTGGAGCAGGTAGAGGAGGGAGAGGGCGGGGGAGGAGGAGGAGGAGGAGGAGGAGGAGGAGGAGGAGGAGGAGGAGGAGGAGGAGGGGAAGGGAGGAGGGGGAGGAGGCGAAGGGGGAGGGTCAGAAGGAGTAGGAGGATGAAACGATGTCGGGGGATAATGGAGACGGAGTGCGAGGAGGGGAAGGGTGAGGGGGGACGGGGAGGACAAGTAGCAGTAGAAGGAGGAGGAGGATAAGGAGGAGAAGCAGAAGGAAAAACGAGAAACCCGAGGGGGAAAAGGACCATGAGGAGAATGAGAAAAACGAACATAGCCTCTCATCCCTGCCCAACTCCACCATATTCGCCTTTCTACCTGCCGGCCCAGTGGAGCCCCGAGCCGACCTCGAGCCGCCAGCTTGCGGTCGCGACCTCCTCTTCCCTCCTCGTCATCATCGCCATTGCCATTCTCCTTCCTTTACCCATTCCTCCCCACCTCCTCCCTCTTATCCTCCTCCTTCTCCTCCTCCTACTCCTCCTTCTCTCCTACTCCGTCTACTCCTCCTCCTTCCCCTCTCATCATTCCTCCTCATTATCCTACTTCTCCTCCTCGTACTCCCGCCATTATTCCCTCCTCCTTCGTCGTCGGCGGCGTCATCGCCGTCTTTGTCATCCTCGTCATCGTCGTCGTGACCATGGTCGCCTTCGTATTCGTTGTCCTCCTCCTCCTCCTCCTCCTCCTCCTCCTCCTCCTCCCCCTTCCCCTCCACCTCCTTTCAGCCCCTACAGGTGGACTGTTCTCATGTTGCCATGACTGGCAGCCTGGACGGGCTGGGATGGTAGGGTCTCTCAGCCATCTCTTTTCTTTTGGCTTGCCTTACATAGTCCAGAGGCTACCTTGCAGGCTAAACACCATGAGACTTCATTCGAGTCGAGTCCTCCCCCTCCTCGTCCTCGTCATCGTCCTCCTCCTCCTCCTCCTCCTCCTCGTCCTCGTCGGCCGTCGTCCCCGTCGTCGTCTTCGCCCTCATCTCTGTCCTCGTTTTCTCGTCGTCCTCTCACGGGCGCGGGCCAGCAGGCTGCCGATGGGGCAGGTCACCGGCTTCTCGAAGAGGAGGAGCACGTAGGCCATAGGCTCGGCGCCCTTGTCAGGGAATGAGGGTGACCGTCCGAGGGCGACCCTCGAACCTCGAACCTCGAACCTTCGGTTCTCGATCCTCAATCATCGAACCTCGATCCAGCAGACCTCAATCCCGCAGCCTCGAGAACCTCGACCCCTCGATGCTGAGGAGCAACGATAGGGAGGCGGGGGGACTGGCTCAGGCGGGGAAGCGTCGAGCTGGAATCGGCGATACATCTCGGATATATCGTCGCTAGGCGTTCGGTAGCGGAACCGCACGTTCCTGGGCGGGGTGGGCTATCAGGCCCCTACCGGAGATGAAGGGGTGATTGGGGGTCGATGCGTTCCCCTCTGAGAGCATCCCCTCCTAATGTTGCCCTTGACTGGCAGAGGGGGCGGAGGATGTTTGGCCAGATGGCCGATTCCAGAAAACCTGACCCAAACATGTGGGTGTTTTTCTCGTGCTTCCGCAGCCTTCCGCCCACGGAATGCGAGCAGACCGGGCATCCGATGGAAAACGTACCAAAATATAACAACTGGCGCCAACTCCGTTCTCGCGCACCCCATCTCTGTGGGAATGGCTCTGCGAGGACGCTGGCTGGCTTCCGCCAGCCTTTAGCCCGCATCCGCCGGGGGCACGAAGGCGAGTCCCTTTCTGGAACGCCCTAGATGGATGGATGGAATGCTGGGGCGGGGGGGAGCTGTCTGGCAGTTCGACGGCTCTCGAATGCGAAAAGCCGCTGCTATCCTGGATACGGGCAGCCCGTCCCAAGATCGCCCCAAGACGGCTCCACGTGGCCTCGGTCACTCTCAGAGTATTCCCGATAGACCCAGCTGGTTCAAATCGTAAGGGTGTCCGATGATTTTGCTTCATTGCCGATCAGCTTCCGATGGGTGTCCGACGCCTCAAGACGACTCCAATGTGGCCCGAGACGAGCCCATGAAGGTCCAAAGACGGCCCCAGCGGCACCCCCGTTTTAGTCGATGTACTCCAAGATGGTCCAGAAGGTTCAAGAGGGCCCCAGGACAGCCCTGAGTGGGCCCCCAAGGCTTCCAACCCGAGAGAGCCTCACGACTCACGATGGCCTCAAGAGACCCCCAGATGTTCAAACATTAACCCTTCTGGGCATCGTTTCAACACAGGCTGTTAGGGGATGCACGAAGCGACAAGAACTCGAAGGTATTCGGAGATGTTCCTCGACACCCTGCTCAGGACACGATCCAAGGCTGGTCCAGGGGGCGATCTCGAGCTTGGGAAGGGAGGGGATGGAAGGAAAGAGAGGAGGAGGAGTAGATGGGGTCGGAGTAGATGGGGTCGGAGGATCGCGCCGCATCGCCGATACATCGGCGATGCATCGGCGATGCATCGTCGACGTCGGTGATGCAGCGGCGATGTCGACGTGAAGCAAATCAGGCCCCACATCGAGCCGCATCGGCGATGCATCGGCGATGCGGCGCGGCCCTCCGACCCCATCTACTCTGGCCCCATCTGGGAGGCTCAGAAGGAGGGGTGGAGGGCAGGTGGCAGAGGTCATGGGGCCAACTTCGGGCATGTTGCGAGGACCGAGGGCTCTTGCGAGAGCCCTCGGTCCTATTTGTTCGCCGGATTTCTCGAGCATCATCCATCCAAGAAGGTCCAGGGGCTCGAAACCGGGCAAGACATGCTGTGGCAAAAACTGCGACGCGTGGACCTCCAAGCTCGGAGGACTCCTTGGAAGAAAAAGCAACGACATGAACATACACGTTCGGAGGTCCACGCGGAGTTGTTGGGTCGGCGGTGGACTCTGGACCCCCTCCCCCGGCGCGCGAAGCGCGCCAGGGGTGGCGCTGGAGGCGGCGCCGGGGGGCGTACAGCGCTGGCCCCAGGAATCCGCGTGGTCATCCACGAGCTTATACACACACACACACGATGACCCCTTGTTTCTGCTGCGATCGAGGCACCTCTGCACGACGCTCTGGCCCCCTGGCCCATTGACCAAGGCCGCCAACGGCGACAGCACGTGCAATCGAAAACCGACAGGACAACGAAGCCAAAGCCGACTGAAGCAGACAGACCGCACGCAGCCCAGAAGGTCGCGGCGGTGTAGCAACGGCACAACAATCAGACCGAATCGAACTGGACTGAACGAAGCCGACTGCGGCGCAGCCGAGCCGACAGAACCCAAGCAAACCCTGGACAATCATCGGTGAGGGCTGGTAAGGCCTCGGGTTGCGCACTCCAAGTAGTCCTGGCTGGCAACGCCCTGGCGCCGCCTCCAGCGGCACTCCCGGGGCGCTCCGCGCCCCAGGGCAAGGATGTTGAGTTAAGATCGCCCCGGGCCACTCGAGGGGCCTATCGGGGCCAGCTGGGACTACCTGTGGGGCTCTCTTTGCGCAGCCCGAGACCTTACCAGTGAGGACACGGGAGGCGGACAACTCCAGCACTTCGGGCAGCCCGGGTGACAAAGACGGCGGCGGCGGCGGCGTACCCTAACACACTTACCCTACCACACTTACCGTAACACCTTAACCCTGACACGCTAATGCTATCAGCTTAGCCTTAACCCTGAAACCTTAGTCCTAACCCAGTACCCTTGGAACGCCCCAACCCACACACGTTAATCTTGCAACCTCACCTCAAACCACGCTCACCCTATTACCGTAACTCAAACACCCTAGCACTAACACCCTACACCTAACCCTACCGCCCTCACCCGAACGCAACCACGCTATCCCTGCCGCGCTACCCCTGACACCCTTCCCCTTACAACCACACCCTCATCTTAGCACCCGAACCCTAGCACCCTAACCCAAACACCCGAACCCAAATCCAAACACCTAAATCCTGACACCCGAATCCTAACACCCCAACCTTAACGCCCTAAGCCTAACACCCGAACCGTACACACTAAACCAAAAGCAACCTAACCCTGGCACGCGAACACGAACCTTACCCCCCTAAACCTCTCCCTAAAACCATAACCTTGGCACCCGAACCCTAACAATGTAAGCATCACGCCCTACCCCTGACCCTACCGCCCTAGTCTTGATCCCAACTCCCAAATCCTGACACTCGTTCTATCGCGAAGGGATGGGAGCGGGGTGGATCCCCCCTAACCCTCTCCAGCGCAAAGAGGGGAGGGGGGGGCCGAAATCCCTCCCCCCTCTCAAGCGCAATGGGGGGAGGGGAGGGGCTGCGAACCCCCCATCCATTTTTTGGAGGGGGGGGTTCGCGAGCACAAGGCCCTTTTACAACTACAGGGGCATCCTCTGGCGCTCTTTCCACATCGTACGCGGACCAGAACGAGCCGGCGAAGGGGCCACGCGACGACGACGACGACGACGAGAAGGAGGAGGGCCGCCTCCTGCGGCTCGGGCAGGCCGGGCACCCCGTTCGCTTGCGCCAAGTAGCGCAACAGGTAAAGCACCCGGTCGCGGTCCTGAGCCGGGCGGCTCGGAGGAGGGGGCGACGGACACAGGAATGAGAAGGGACCCTCCCAAGCAAGGGGAAGAGAACGTTGACGCGACCACTCTCACGACCACGACGAGAGGGGGGAGGCAATGGGTGCCGAGGAGGAGGGAGGCGGGCCACGCCAACGGGTCCTTCACCGTTTGGTTGTTCCTCGGCCCAAGAGGACCAGCAAACGCATTCCGATGAGCTGTCGCAGCTCCGCGCGAATCTATTGGATTAGCGCTGGGCCCCCTTCTTTAGTGCGCGGAGCGCTCCAGGGGATGCGCTGAAAGCGCCGCGAGGGGGGTCCGAGCGCAGATCCAACAAATCTGGGCGGACCTTGGAAGGTATCTCTTGATGCATCAGCTTCTTCCTCGCAGTCTCGGTGCTCCTCGCCCTCCCCCCGACGCTGGTCGAGGCGAGGGTCGTAGAAGGCATCGGAGCATTGCTCGGCACTCTCCGCAGCGTCACGCCCGAAGGCGGACCGAAAGCGACGTGCACGTTTGTGCCGCGGCGATGGCGACCGCGCGCCGCAGTCGAAGCCTGAGCGGGGGCACTGCTGGGCGAATCGGAGAGGGAGAGAGGGCGGCCGCGGCGCAGTGGCGGGAGGGGCGGCGTGAAGGACGTCGTGCGCAGTGCGCGCGGCACTCTGGCTCCAGGCGGGAGCCGTGCAAGCTTGGCGGTTCAGAAAGCCCTGCTCCCAAAAGCCGTGGGTCACGTATCTTTCGTTGCGCCCGCCAGCGCTGGCTGGAGGGGAACGTCTGGGGGGTCAAATTCAGCCGAGGGGGGCATCGAGCATCGAGCTGTAGGGGCGTTGATGTTGTGCTCAGATGTGACGCAAAGCTGCTCCTGAGTACACGAGACCTAACGCACGAGACCAATATAGCAATCTTACACACTAGACACAACATGACCACTACCGACTAGCCCTGCCACTTCTCAACACGCACTGAACCCACACCTCGCGGATACATCGGCGATGGACACCCGACTGCGGATCCGCGCGCTCCTGGGCGGGTCGGGCCGTCGGGCCGCCTCCCGCCCAGGAGTGGGCGACTGGCGATTGGGGGCCGATGCCCCCCCCCAAAAGTTGCCTTATACAGGATTCGGCCTGATCTGAGGAACGAGAATTAAGGAACGAAGCCCCTCTTTCCCCAAGTAACTCTAGGAAGTCCGACGGAACACCAAAGGGGTTCGCCGCTAAAACAATAATTGAACGCATGCAAACCAAAGGAAAGACCGAGCCCCTTTTGACAAGTAGATGTTCCTTATCCGAGCCCGACCCTGTAATTCCGCACGCCTTCCGCAGGCCGGGCCCGCGGCCGTTCCACTTCCGCCGATTCCCACCGCTGGGCCAAGACCAGCGATCGTCGCTCGAGGGTATCGGTCGAACATCGAGGATCGATGGAGGAAGACGGCCGAGGGCCGAGCCACACTCGGAGACTGGCCCTTTCCGACCCTCCGAGCCGACCTGGGGTTCCACCGCCGCCAATCCTCCCCTCAGGATCCAGATGAAGTGAACGCTCATGTTCTGATTGCGTGGTTCTGACAACTGTGCTGGACTCTAGAACGTGTTGGAAAGACTTCTTTTTCCTGGAGGCACCGCCCGGATCGGCAGCGCGCGCGGGGCGGCGCGTGCCCAAAGACGTTCGCAGCACCGAGCTGGGGCGCAGCGCGAGGGGCTACGGCGAGGCGGCCTGGCCCAACCTGGCTAGGACGCGGGCCTTCAGGGCAGCCAGCCGCTCGGCACCAGCGGCGCCGAGGAAAGCCGCACCGCGGCCGCGTGCGCGGCGCAGATGTCCTGCGTGGACGCCTCGCCAGCAGCAGCCCGGGCCGCCGAGGCGGCGCGCGACGCAGCGGCCAGCGCCCGGCTCCGGGCCCCGCGCGCCGGCGGGTTCGGGCCCCTATACGCGCTGCCCGGGGGAGTGCCGAGGGGCGGCGTTGCCAGCACCGCAGGCGCAACCGAACCGCTGGCGGCGCACGCGGCGCCCGGGCGCCAGCGCGGGGCGGCGCCCTCGGACGCCGCGCGGCCGCAGCGTCACGCTCAAACACACGACGTGGGCGACCGTCCGGCCCGATCTCCACCGGCTCGTGGTGGTTCGCCGCGCAGGGCGCAGGTAACTGCCCGGAGGGCTGCGGCCTCGTGCGCCACCAACTACTCCGCGACCAGGAGATGGCGCTTGGCTGCGACGCACGGCAGTGGGCAACCAGCAGCCGCCTTGGCCACCGCATCAGCCAACCGGTTGGCCATCCATGCCCCGCCGAAACCGCAACTCCATCAAATCGACGAGCCGTGCCGATCATGGCGGTCGTGCCGTGTGCCAGGATCCACGTGATCTTGCCCGAAGTAACGAGCCAAGAGAGGCCGCCATCAACGACGGTGGCAACCCGTGACCACACTTGGGCCAACATTCTGGAGGCCTTGGTGGCTCGTACCGATCGGGCAGCGGCCGCTGACAGGATCGAGCGGCAGACCGTGCGGATGGACGGCGGCACGATGGCGATTGAGAGAACCAGGAGGACGGCCCATAGCTCGGCAGCTGCCGCGGTGCGAAAGGAGCTACCAGGAGGACGGCCCATAGCTCGGCAGCTACCAAAGGGACGGCCATTAGCTCCCCTGGACCCACGAAAGTGGCGACGTTGCGCAATTGGCAGCCGCCCAGGGGGCTGCGAGGTCTCGGGTACCTCCCTAATCCGCCGTGCCTCCCAGGAGCCCACGACATTGGCGACAGTTCCGCAGTTCGCAGCCACCCACCGAGCTGCCAGGTCTCGGGTATTGTACTTCCCTGGTCCGCCGTGCCTCCCAGGAGCCCACGACATTGGCGACAGTTGCGCAGTTCGCAGCCACCAAGGGAGCAGCGCAGGATGAGGAGGCAGGAGGCAGGAGGAGGAGGAGGAGGAGGAGGAGGAGGAGGAGGAGGAGGAGGAGGAGGAGGGAGGAGAGGGAGAAACAAAAGGTGTACGACCGCAGAGCTCTACTTAAAACGAGAACCCAACACAGTACGGTTGGGAACAACGAAAACTAACAATTTCCAGCGCGATGTTGGCTTGGCTGCCCGAAGTCCAGGCGAGGACGAGGCCCTGTTTGGGAGCACCACGCGTGCTGGCGATGATTCTTCGGGGGGAGGGTGCAGCATGCTCTCTCCGAATGGACCTGGCGTGCAACCATGCTAGGAGCGTTGGCCCGCCAGTGCTGGCGATCCTTC